GCCTACTCTTTCTTTTTTTCCCCCAGTGCTGGGGATTGAATCCAAGGCTTTTGCATTAAGCTACATCCTCAGCCTTTTTTCTCTTTCTGTCCCTCTTCCATTCTTCTCTCTCTCTGTGTCTGTCTGTCTCTGTGTCTATCTGGCTCTGTCTGGCTCTGTCTCTGTGTCTATCTCTTCTGTGTCTGTCTGTCTGTCTGTCTCTTTTCTCACCTTGTCACCTTTCTTGGAACTTGAATCCCTAGCCTGGGAGAGTGGGCAAGAGCACTGGGGAAGAGCCCCACGCTCAGCCAGATCACACTCAACCATCTCCAAGAGATTCATCTTTCTGAAGTGCCTCTTTGTGAAGGAAAGCGCTCATATTTTATTTTCAGTTCATTCCAGGAAAGGTTCCCGAGCCACACAGGTTAAAAAAAAAGAAACAGAACACTAGAGTGGGAGACCAGGATGTGGAACCATCACCCACTAACCCTGTAGCCTTGGTGCTTACACTCAGGGTCCTTACTTTGTTCATCTGTAAAATAGGATGATAACAACATCTCTACTTATTCTGGAGTAGTTGGAGGATTCACTGACAACTAAAAGGAGGCACATGTGCTGGGCTACTGCAAGGACAACTAGTCAGGGTGAGTGGGTGGAAACCAGGCTCAGCATCCCTCCAGCCTTCTGACCAACATGAGCAGCCCTAAGCAGTTCTGCGGCTTCCTGTGGTACAATTCAAGGTTTTTTGTTGTTGTTGCTGCTGCTGTTTTTTTGTTTTTTGTTTTTTTTTGGCGGGGGGGGGGCTAATACTCGTACCCACATTGCAGGCTTGCTGTGAAGATTAAAAGTATTCATACTGCAAGTCACGACTTGGCTGTATTTCACTTGGCCTTTAAGGTGTATTTCTCAGATACAGAAGTAGGCTGCACACCTGGTGATACCCAGAGAAATGTGGCATGGTATGTGCACTTTGTCCCTATGGTAACAGTTATCAGACCAGAGGCAGTGGCTTCTGAGGAGAGTTCCAGAGAAGCCAGAAACTCAACTGTGACCCAGAAGCATTCATTAGACCTTTCTGGGCATCTTCCCAATGGCAGTTGCAGAGGGTGTCATTGTAAGCTGGCCTGATTGTTGCTCTCTGATCTCATAAGGAAGTAGAGGAGGGCAGGGCGGTGGCACAGAATGTGCTAGGAGTGTCTGACCGAGTTGTGTACCAGGCGAGCGTCTGGGTGGGGTGCCCACAGCCAGGTGCCCACAGGCCTGGAGGGAACAGTCTCCGTGACCAGCCAGGGAACCAAATGCTCCAGGCCCTTGTGTTGGGCCTTGCAGAATGAGTAGCAGTCTTCCAGGTGAGCTGTCAAGAGAGGCTTTCCACACACCTACCTTTCTCCTATGGGTCAGTCACTGCCTCTTGGATTTTCAACGAGGACCCTGGTAGGGTTTCTGAGCTACTTCCCATCTCTTAGGGCCTGTGTTTATACCCTGTGTGAAAAGTAACTGTTCTGGGCTTTGCTTGCCTGGGCTGAGCCTTTACTTTTAAGAAGTCTAGAGCTACTCAGTCCAGAGCAGCAGCCAGATCATATAGAGCTCTCCACATCAACATTAGTGAAAACTAAATAAAGTTAAAGTTGAATCACTCAGTGATGCTAGCTAGTTCCACTTAAGGGTCTCTGTGACCACTTGTGGCCAGTGGATACCCATGGCCAATGCAGGAGACACTTTCATCAGTACAGGAAGTTGTTGAGCATAGTGTTGATCTGGACAGAGCCTGGAATCACACAGAGAGGAGAGCAGGTGGGGTGTTCCTTCTCCTTGCCCTCCACTCCTGCTGTGTGAATCCACACGCTAAGCATGCACGTTCCCATGGGACCCCACAGAGGGACATCTGCCAGGCTTCTGCTACTTTCTGCCTGGACCCAGCTCTAAGGTAGGTCACTGATTGTCCTGGTAAAATACATGCATCATTAAATTGGTGAAATCTTTCCTGTAGTCCTGTGATCTCGGGACAGAGTGCTGGTCAGAGGATGCATGTGTCAGGGCCCTATTTCAGATGTCTTAGTGGGTGAGGGGAAACCAGGGCTGAGCATACATTGGGGAGAGGGCCCCGTGTCCATAGCCAACTGTGCGTGGCATTGGAGTCTCCTTTACACTCTGGAACTCCCAGCTAGACTAGCTGCAGCACTGCTGGGCTACCCGAATGCCTGCCCTGCCTTGAAGCCTTCATGACAAAATCACTTCCCTCAGCCTACACTGTTAGATGTCCTAAGAGCGGGTGCACATAAGGACCAAAAGTCCATTGCAAAGCAAAGAGAAGAGAAATCACCTCCTGGGCTCACACAAAGCCTGGAGCCCACAGCATTTGCCTTCAAACCTGCCCCCTCTCCAAAGTGTACTCAAACTTTCCATTACAACCTGGGATTTACATTTTACTGTGCTCTGGTATCTCAGGAAATTAGATAGAGCTACGACAGTGCATAACGGTGATGACTACAGGAATTAGGAGGCTTGCAGGCCCTGTGACTTACGGTTGCTATCTAAAATGATACGAGGAGGAATTTGACTTTAGCCCAGGTTTGGTTGTAATTTTCCAGAATGACTATCATTGTAGAAATCTAAACACGTGTGAATGACTTCCAGATTTTGTAAGTTATAATATCTGTTCCATCTGTTGAGAGAACTTGGAATTTCAGAGTTAGCTTGTTGATAAGGTTGTAGGGAGACAGAAATCTTTTCCAGAGTACTGTTACTCTGCCAATTGTAATTTAGCAAGCCCTTCATTCTGAAAGGGGCTTTCTAGTGCAAGTGAAGAATATGAGGTGTAATAATAAAACAATGAAAGTGAAGTTGCATTAGTCTCCTTTAAAATTCTCCCTCTTTCTCCAAATACACTTATGCCAACTATCTTACCACTTTCTGGAGCAGCTCTGGAAGTCCTCTTCCATGAGCATCTTTAGTTGACCATTGTAGCTCCTCACTGTCCTCACATGATTCAGAATGTCCACCTTTCATGGTCACCTTGACTTTGAGAAAGACCCAGTGGTTAGACAGTGCCAGATCCCATGAATAAGGTAGATGAGGATATACTTTAATGCTTAGGAGTCTGCTTGTCCATTGGGTGGTAGGTAGTCAACAGTAGCATTCCTCACACTCTGAACACTCCTTGGACCCCTGGTCTCTCAGTCTAACATGGTGTCTATAGACCTCTGCCACGTACAGTCCCTGCATACTTTGCAGGCTGGTTTCTTGCTGCTGTGCTTCCACTTCTGGTTGTCATGTGGATCTTGTCAGTGGCACCATCTATGTTGGGAAGGTGAAATAGACCAACACAAGCAGCAGCCTCTGTCTGCTGGACTCAGCCACCATGTGAACCTCTTAGAAGACCAGCTTCTGTGTCAGGAGGCGTGCTCAGTGCCAGCCAAGTCAACATGCCTCAGGAGGCCAGTCTCAGCAGGGAAAGGGCAGACAGGCATCTGAGTAGAATGTGTGCCATAGACATGCATTGGTGTCTTTCTCCAAGTCAGTTCAGTAGAGCTTGGCATGTGGAAAAGAGAACACAGATTTTCTTCTGTTTTAGGGCCACATCCTCCTTGTATGCAGAGAAAGCTGCCTGAGACTTTTCCCAAACCTTGGTACTTGACCTGAGTTTTTGCACTGGACTTTGTGTGCAGGACCTGCACCCACGTCCTCCTGAATGGTACCTTGGAGAAAGGCAGGTAGGAGAGGCCAGTGGATTGATCTTGGCTGGGGAAGCACAGGCAGTGTAACTGCCCCCTCAATAAAAGTCTGTTTGGAGAACAGAGAACAGAAATGGTTTTATTTTACATGGTTCTATGGATGACAGGTTTCCCTTTCATTACTAAGAATCAGAAGGCTATGGTATCGCCTTTTGAGGTTTTTGCTTGCTTGCTTTCCTAGTACTGAGGTGCTGAGCATCACCAGGGAGCTAATAGTGAACAGGCAAAGTCAAGAGCTTCAGTTTATAGAAATGAAACAGGTCATGAAGGAAATGCTGCTCCTTCTTGCCAAATCAGAGCTCAGTGAATAATTCAGCAAGTCCTTATGTTGGTGCTCTTTCTGTGTGTTTTGCAACATTATCGATTCATCTGAAGAATATACAATGAGACTAATAGGAGTTCATGAGTTGGGGAAATGCTGGCGGGATTCATGAGGCATCAGATGATGACGGTCCAGATAAAATGTCACTATGTATACGAAGATGTAGACGTCAGCGGGTGTGTGCACTGGGGTGTGATTGCAGTGGGGGCACTGAGAGCAGAGTCCAGTGTGACCGTGTCATGAACTTGCTGAGCCTCCTAGTCCAGTCCATCTCACCTTTAGCCCTGTTGACTCTTAGTGCTGGCTGATTCTTGGGAGCATGAGGTTGTCCTGGGCATCACTTTGGAGGCTATTCAATGGCACCCCTGGCCTTTGTCCACTGGATTCAAGTTGCAGCTCCAACCTGACCACCAAAAATGTCTCTCAGACCTCACCCTGGCTGAGAACCATTGTTCTAGACCAAGTGACGTTATCCTCTAAGTCACTGGGTCCTCATCTGTACGCCGCATGGGGTTGTACATGGCTTCTCATGTCCCATCCAATCTGACACTCCCAATGACATGAGGACCTGCCTCCTGAGCTGAGTACAGCCTGTGTTGCCATAATTCAGAATACACATGGGAATGTGTTCTTCCTAAGTTAACGTAACTCTCTCTCTCTCTCTTTTTTTTTTTTTTTGGTGGAACCAAGGATTGAACTCAGCCCTTTGCACTTGCTAGGGAAGCGCTTATTCCACTGAGCCATCTCCCCAGCCCCCACTCTCATTTATTTTATCATTCAGCTGTAAAATTCCCCCTTGTCCAGTTAGCAAATGTCCCTGAATAATTCACTATATTCCTCAACCCAAAATACATGTACAGTGGCTCTGATTTTTTACTAAACCTTACCTATATAGTTAGACTTTACAGGAGAAGATTTAAGACTTGGCTGAAATAGCTGTGTTTTTTCTCCCCTCCTTCCCACAGGAATTCTTACACTAAAGAAAGCCAATGAACTCTTAAGCACAGGTGTGCCAGGTAGTTTCCTGATTCGCGTCAGTGAAAAGATCAAAGGCTATGCCCTATCTTACCTGTCAGAAGAGGGCTGTAAACACTTCCTCATAGATGCCTCTGCCGACTCCTACAGCTTCCTGGGTGTGGATCAGCTGCAGCACGCCACCCTGGCCGACTTGGTGGAATATCACAAGGTAAAGTGATTCATAAACTCACTTTACTTGGTAAAGTACTGTCCTATAGCCGTTCTAACAAAGAAAAGCAATTACAAGGAAAATGATTGAAATCAGTAATGAGAGAATTAATCTTTGACAGTTTTTCCTAATAATCAGGATTCTTAATTGCATTTCTTTTAACATAGAGCCTAGTTTTTCTTCAGATATTCAAGGAGGCCCACTGTGGTCGAGAACTTCAGAGATGCTAGCAAAGTTGAGCACACACTCATTACATCTGGGAATGAATCTTAAGTTAGAATGCAAGCCCTAAAGGAAAGGGAATATGGGGATGGGAGTCCTTTAAACAGTGCAGTAAGCCAGCAAAGGTCTGTGTAAATCAAGGATTGAGGAATGTATCCCTGAGAAGGCAGGCAGGGCACCTCCAGCACCGCGCCTCCTCACTGTGTGCCTTCTGATTGACAGGAGGAGCCCATAACATCCTTGGGAAAGGAGCTCCTCCTCTACCCCTGTGGTCAGCAGGAGCAGCCACTCGACTACCTGGAGCTCTTTGAGTGACAGCGTCCACCAGGTCATCTTACGACTTCCGGCTGGGCTTTCCCCTTGACTTCTATGTATGAAGCCAAAGTCCCCCTGCAGTGGAGCCAATACAGAACGTTTCCCAGAAGTCCTTGCTGAAACCTCTCTTCTGTATAAACACTGGTTTAGTGTCAAGGGGAAATGACCTCTGCTTCATCTGCATTCCAAAAGTAAAGAGGGAAGAGTCCTAATTTCAGCAGTGACCTAACATGATGTGACCTTACTGATGGATATAAGATCAAGCCACACAGAAGAAACTGCAGGAATGCAGATGTACGTCCAAAACCAGTAGCTTCTGTGAAGTTTTTGTGACTTCTCCATTCCCCCTGTGGATCCTCTCAGAAGATCTCAACGTCTTGTTCTTATGAAGTTCCACTTAGCTGGGAAACACTGAGAAGCCCTTACCGATGGCTGAGATGATCCTCAAAATATACCTCCCTTATTGTGTGTATGGGGAGGGGCAGAAAAACAACCCCAAGTGTCAACCTGATTGGATATATTAAAATGTAGGATTAGAGGCCTCATAAACATAAAAGTACATATGGATCATGAGAAATGAGGACAATGCTCATTGTGTCTTAGGGTTATGTAGACAAGAACACAGGAAGTCAGCTCTTTGCATACTACTTGTGGGCTGGATTTCATTCCCCAAAATGATATCTTGAAGTTCTAATCCCCCGTATGTGCGTATGACCTTATTTGGATGTAGGGTCTTTGCAGATGGAGATAAATCCAATGGCTAATATCCTCATGAAGAGAGAGATTTAGAAACACAGCCCCACAGAGAAGACAGCCAGGGACAATGCAGCCAGAGGCAAGAATGGTGTTGCTGTTGACCAGGGGTTGGGGGCAACCTTCACATGTCAGGAGAGAGGTGTGAAACGGATTCCCTCCGGAACTTCAGGAGGAGACATGCCCATGCGGACACCTTGATTTCAGCCTTTGAGCTTCCAGAACTGCGAATGAATAAATGTTTACTTTAAGTTACTGAGTTTATGCCCATTCTTGCAGCAGCCCTAGGAAGCCCTACTGCGGTACTAGTGCAGTAGCTAAGGTAATTATGGGTCTGCACATCTCATAGACCCATACGTAGCTGCAGAGTCATAAGGAACTGCAAATGGTTTGTACTGTTAGACTTTGGTAAGAGCCTGTCTCTCAGCTTTTGGTTCTGTGATGCTGCAGTCAGACATTATGCCAAAACCTCTCTTCTGTTTCCCTCTCTTCCCACTATTTTCTGTGTCATTTGGGTAAATCTCTTTACCTCTCTGAAACTGCTTCTGAAAGAAGATATTTTAAACTGGGTTGTCTTTATTATTTTCATCCAGCTCTTCAGGCTTAAATTGTATTACTCACTGGTATGAATAGAACACTCAATAGTTACAATAGTTATGGAGATACATAAGATTTCAGTATCGCATAAATGTGACCATATGATACGCCTACACTGTGTGACTGGACGAAGATTGAGAACAGAAAATGATCCAACTGAATCAACCTAATTATTAGTTCCTTTTCTCTCATTGCTAAGACAAAATACCCAACACATGATGCTCCAAGATAAGAGTGGCACATGGCAGACTGGCAGCAGTTCATGGAGCTGGAGGACGGCAAAACCAACAAAAGCAAAAAGGAGGAGACACACCTATCTCTTTCCTTTATATTATTTCCAGTCTCCCAGGATTATGGCAGTGCTAGTCCAATCTGTGGACTGAGGCAGCAATCACCCTCCCTTAATCACAGCACTCTTAATTCCAGCACAGCGCACTCTCGATTTAGCCACCTCTGAAAAAGTCCTAAGGTCACATGAGGCTGGTGCAGGGGCTTTTGGACACCAATGGCAACACCTGATATTACACAGGCGCACGTGCTTGAGTCCTATACTGTTTCTATGTTGACTGTTGATACTCAGAGGAGAAACTAGCAAGTGTCTGGTGATGGGATGGCCAGGAGTAATACTTGAAATTCTTTGGGAAAGGGAATGCTTTATGGAATTCAGAAATTGATAAGTGTGGGTGAAGAGGCTTAGATTTAGTATCTGATTCTAGTGATGATTTAAGGTAACATCCTGATCTTGGCCCCAGTTCTCTCCTATTGCCTTACGAGCCCAGCTTCTTGCCCCACCTACTCCAAGTCTCTTGGTAAGGGATGTGGCCTTTATGTTACTCACCAGGTTCTTAACCCCAGGGTCCCTGACCTGTAGATTTTGGAGACTTTGGGCCTATTCCCAAATGCTACTTTGTGCTTGAGCTGGTTCTTCTCTCCTTCAGGATGATTCTGGAATCTTCCTCCACATTTTGTAGGGCTAGGGGGGATAGCTCAGTAGAATAAGCTCCTGCCTGGCAAGTACAAGGGCCTGAGTTCAATCCCTGGTTCTGAAAACAACAACAACAACAAAAACCCCATGTTTTGTGATCACTGCTTCGTAACGCTAGAACTCCGTCCCAGTCAGGTCGTCCATAAGGCTCCTGTTCTTGTCTCCCATCCTACCCTGCTGTACTAAGGTGCTCGGGAAAGTTATCCCTGTGTGTCACCTGCAGTGCTAGGCCTCGTCAAGATGTGTGAGTTGGATCCAGTCTCATCCTAAGAAGAAGGAAAGCAGAGATATAGTTAAGGAGAAAAAGGATCAAGAGAAAGAAAACATGAAGATGGAGAATGGACGAGCCAAAAATACCTCCAGGACAGGCTGGGGATATAGCTCAGTGGCACAAACACCTGGCAAGTGCAAGGTCCTAAGTTTGATTTCTGGCACAAAAACAAATCTCCAGGGAATTTATAAAAATTGCCTATCTGAGCTAATGCTTTGGAATTAAACTACCCTTTTAATACAAGAGTATATACTAGAAGGGCATTAAATCAGCTTTTAGGTTAAAAAGGGAAAAATTTAATGGCTCAAATGTTTGTTACCTTCTACAGAAGTAGCTTGCTCAGTGTACTACAGTCCAAACATATGACCTTCACACGTTCACATCTTGGGGCTCCTGCCACTTGGTGCAGTGAGGACACAGTGGTATTTGTAGGTTATGAGGGGTACATATCTGTGGGCACCTCTTTGCTTGCACTTGTGTCAGCAATGTAGGAAACGCTTTCAGGTCCACTTTCTTTATTGCTGACACAAAATAACCAACATTCACAATTTGTTTTTTTTTTTTTTTTTTTTGGTCTTTTGGAGACAGGGTTTCACCATGCATTTCAGGCTGGCCTTAAACTCACTTTGTAGCCTCTGTTGACCTCGAACTAACAGTGATCTTCCAGTCTCAGCCTCTGAGAGGCTGAGAATACAGGGCTGTGTCACCACACCCCCCCTCCAGTTATATCTTTAAGTAATACTTCCACTTGAATTGCATTTTTCTCTTCCTTAGACTAGATGTAAATCTTAGCTTTCTCTTGGTTTTCTGCTTTTATAATCTCTTCATCGTTTTCATTTACTCCTTCTCATGTGTTTTAGGAGCACTGCTCATCTCTGTCACAAAAGAGTAAGTCTTCTGCAGTGTTAATTCCGAGTGGATCACTGTCCTACCACTACATTTCGGGTTTAATTGCCCTCCTTCCATCTTTCCCTATGCAGGGATCTTTGTATGTCTCACCACTGCCCAAGACCAGAAACTATTAGGAAACTTAACGAATCAAAAGTATGCTCACTTTAGTCTGTGATAAAAAGATTATCTGTTAATGAAATAGCTGGCTAGAGAGAAAACCTAGCCAGTTTGGGTTTGGCTTCTATCTGTGATATTAGTTATGTGGGATCTTGAAAGAAAAATTATTCCTAAGCTTGTATGAGCTTCACCTACTTCATCCTGAAAACCAGAGTTACTAAAGTCATCCAGGTTCTAAGGATTAGAAATGTGTTAGGTGCTTGCGATAAAGAAATATTTCCATGAACCCCAGGGAGCTATGGGACCAACAAGGCTGACATCCATGTGGCCAGGCCTTCTTAATTGACAGTTCACATAACCAATGGGATGTGCTCCCTAGTAGCCCATTTCCTGGACTTTCTGGAATGATTTGTAAGGGAAAAATGATCCACAACTCCCAGGTTAATGGTACCCCTCCCCCCAAACTGGCCATTCACAAACTGACACAGTTGCCTATAGGTTACTGATTAGAAATCCTCAAAGATTTGCCTTCCTTTTGGAGATGGCTTTTTACTCTGGGACTTGCTCTGCCTGTCTCTCCAACAGGTCAGGTGGGGCCAGGGCAAAGCCTGATGGCCAGTGGGGTGAGGGGCCACTGCCCATGCCTATCTTTGGATTTTCTTCAGCCAACAGGATGCCCTGGATGAAGTCTTCTCATCAGTTGAGTCAAGAGCCTGTAACTCTCCCCAGTACTGTGTCTAGGAACCAGACACACTGGCAAACCCCTTCTCTGTTGAGGACACGGACACTGTCTTCATGGTGTGGCAGAGCCCAGGCAAATGCTTCCCAACCAGGCCACTTCTATTGCAGACAGCCCACATACCATCCATCTGATTTTTACATGGTTCCATTTGATGCTAGTAACTGGAAGAAACAAGAGGTTGTTAAATAAAAACTTTCATCCACCTCTGCCTGATTTTGAGGGGTTTCTATTGAGCTTTACAATTCTTTTCAAATGGGCTTCGAAGCTAGAGCATGCCAGCTGATGCCACTTACTGTTTTTAAGCCCCAGTTGGGCAGTGGAGTTGGATGCTACAGGGAGAGGATGGAGGGCAAAAAAGCTGCCCGGATGGCACTCACTGTAGCCCGGGCTACAGTGTTCAACTCTACAGCTGCTGAGAAACAAGCAATGAATCTACTTCACCAAACGATCCTCCAGGTTAAGGGCCGTTCGGTGAGTGCAGGGTGGAGGCTGCACTAGGTGGCCTGGCCCTCCCTGAATCTCAGGTGGCTGGAGAAAGTTGGAGAGCCCTTCTTCCCCCCAGAATGGCTCTGCCCTTTCCAGCTGTGACCTTCCCCAGGACTGCCCCCTCTTTCACCCCATGTCCACTCTCCAGGTTCACTCTCTTACTAGAATTGCCCAAAAGCCAGATGCAGTCCAAGGACAGGGTGTGCCTACTGCAGAGAGCACATTCAGAGGCTCAGCAGCACAGAGGCCATTTGAAAGGCACCTCTGCTGACAGGAAAGAACATATTCTCTGTGTTGGCAAAAGCCACCCCCCAAACCCCCAACCAACTGGCACAGTCCCCAGTTTTGAGCAGCAACAACAAAGCTCTAAGCCCTGCCAGGAGAAATAGCTTTGAATTAAGACATAAAGCTAATCAGAATATGGATCACAGAAAGCCGCCAGGTATTTGATGTGTGTTGAGAGGAAAACATACCCGCCCCACTGTGGAGCTGCCCAAGGTCATTACCCCTCCTTGGTAGCGCTCAGAGACAGTATCAAGTCTTTTTTTTTTTTTTTAAAACACAAGTAGTCTCAACTGCTGTCCCCACCTACTGAAGATGATTTTTGAATTTCATATCTTGGAATTCTGCATGAAAGCTGTTCCTGGATCGCTGTGTAAGGAGTTCCCATTCCTTTTCTTTGGATTTCACAGCTGGGGCTGGAGGTATGGAACAGAGAAATGGTGGGGAAGCATGGTCCAAGAGGACAGGCTCAGACCTGCTCCCAGGCCAAAGCTGTCTTCTAGATCTTCAAGGCCATCTGAGGTTGGTCATGAGATAAGGAGATCACACAAGGCCTGCCTGATTCCGGCTGAGCCTTGGGGAAAACCTTTTCACATTTCTAAGCTTCACATTTTGCAGCTGGAAAATGAAATGTAATGATATTACTTACCTTCTAAGGTGGGCATTATGAACATAAGGTTCCTGGCAAGATTCTTTACTTCAAAAACATCTAATGTCTCCAACTGCCTAGGGGAACCATCAACTCCAAATTACCAAACACAGAATTTAAGATAGGAATTATTCATTGCATGTTATACTCCTAGTACTCTTCTCTTCTCCATGGTGCAGTTGGAGTTTTGATGACAGCAGTGATCTCTCATTCATGGTCCTTAGTGGCTCTCTGATTTCATCCAGGAAGTGCTGGGCATACTGAGCTCAGAATTTCCCAGATACAGTCATACATGAGGAGCTGTATGCTGAATACCAACCAGACATAAATAACTGCCATGTGCCTGCTACGTGTGGTGTCTTCAATGAGTCACCCTGTCCACTCAATCTTCACAACAACCCTATGATACATAGATGTGACTGCATTCATTACGCAGTACTCTGAATGAGAAGCCTGAGGTACAGAGGCATTAAACAACTCATTTAAGTTCATGTAGGCTTCAAATAAGAGATAGAGGGGCCAGCCAGGTAGCTCAGTGGATTCAACTGCCTGCAGGGACCAGGGTCTGATCCCTGGCATGCCGGGCTGGTCCTGCCCCCTGGGGCACACTGAGACGGCCCACTGAGATGGTGACTGAGACTGGGTGTGGTGGCACGTGCCTGTAATCCCAGTGTTTGGGGGACTGAAAACAGGAGGATCATTACAAGTCTGATCTGTGCAGTGAGACCCTATACCAAATACATTTAGAAGAAGAAGAAAGAGCTAGAATTTGAAGAGTGTCATGGTGGCACATGCCTGTAAACTGTCGCACTCAGGAGGCTGAAGAAAGATCCTAAGTTTAAATTCAGTGTAGGCTACATAGCAAGACCTTGTCTTAAAAAAAAAAAAAAAAAAAATTGGAACTGGGGATATAGCTCATTGACAGACAGTCTGCATGAGGCCTGAGTTCAATTTCTAGTGCCAAAAAAGAAATGAAATAAAATAATGGAGAAATACATTAAGAAATGAAGAAATAAAAATGTACCGCTGGCATGGTGACACATGCAGCTGTAATCCCAGCACTAGAGAGGATCACAAGTTGAAACGTAGCCCAGGTAACTCAGTCATTTAGTGAGACCCTGTACAGAGGTTCACTTTCCAAGTACCACACACAGACAAAAACAAAGCAAAACAAAACAGTAAGACCTACTGGAACTTGAATTCTGGTTGTCTGTCTAGAAAAGTCATGGTATTAGCTCCCCACTGTAGTGAATCCTGGTCAGGTTGGATGAAATTAGAGAGCAGATGACTTCACCAATTAGCAGAGCAAGCTCTGGGTAGCTATTTTCATAGGTCAGGTTCTCTCACTACTGAAGAATGGAAAGAGGCACATGGGCCACTCTTGTGACTGGCAAGAGGGGCTGGGACGTCGAAAACTGGAGGCAAAATAGCACAAGGGGGTCAGTGCCCTCACTTGGAGGCAGAGGTGTTGGCAAATGATAACAGGTGGGTGGGGGTGTGCATTGGGGTGGAGCGTAGCAAGGCTTGACTAGTAGCAACTGCCCATATGCACGGGGTAAATGCTACCATGGTTTATTTCAAGATTCCAGCCTGTCTTCTTTGAGGGGGAAGCTGGGAAAAGTTGTTGATTGGCTCTGATGTAGCTAAATCAGGAGCAATGGGGGTGACTCCCAGTGTATTCTAGACCCCAGGTCAGTCTGATAGTTGGTTAACAGGCAATTAGAAGAGGTGGACTATGACTATGCAGAGTTGGGAAGTTGGGAGGGGCTTTCAGCCAGTTCAGGTCCAGTGCTTCCTGGCAGCATCCTTCCTTTGCAAGATGCAATGCGCTGGGTCCTTCAAGGCAATTTCATTACGGCTTTCCTTTGCTGTATGAGTTTAAATTATAGTATCTTATTTAAACATTAGCGGGGCTTTTTCTTTTACCTATGCCTCAGGCAGACCATGGATACAGATGGCTTGCCTGTACTTTCCAAGAGCAGCTTCTGACTTTTAACAAAGCTGCTTTACCTGGCTAAGCTTTAAAAAGAAAGAATTGAGTAGGTTGTTTCTTTACCTCTTCAGCCACTCTCAGTAACTTTTAAAGCTGAGTTCTTATCCATTCTCTTGGGCACTTATGCACTGTCAGGCACCTGTGCACTCTCGGGCACCTGTGCACTCTCTCGGGCACCTGTGCACTCTCGGGCACCTATGCACTCTCTCGGGTGCCTGTGCCACACAATGTAAATAAGCATGAATGACTGATTAGCTGCAGAGTGCAGCCAGGACTGAAGCTCAGAGAGACTCTTAGCCCCACCCTATCGCATAGCTTAAATATTTGATCTCTACCACCACCCTTGTTGGGAATGCATCCTCCTGAACCTGGTCAGTCCCAAATCCCTCAGGACCACTGTTGAGACAGGCCAGCCTGCCCCGAGGTCCCTAGTGTCACCACAGTATATGAAAGTATTAAGTATAGAGTGGCAAGGGGCCTTAGAAGGCACTTCTCAACATCCTGTAATTCCAAAGGTCAAGTGCAGTGTATCGTTAGTTCATGTTTTTCATTATGGTCCTCTTCTTCCTCTTGCCTGGTATTGACTCCCAAGGCACATCTGGAGCGAGTCGAGGTTATTCCCCTTATAGGAATCTGTCCCAAAGAGTTAAAGATCTCATACTGGAGTGATACACTGCACACCTGTATGTATAGCATCACAACTCCTGCACACAGCCTGTCTGCCCATCAACTGATGAATGGATAAAGAAAAGGTGGCCAAACTTGGTGGTCTGTAGGATCAAAGATGTACCTTGAGGCCACCATGCTAACTGAAGTAACTCAGAAATGCAAGTATAAATACCGCATGATTTCTCACATATGAGAAACCCAAGATATACATGCAGAGCAAAATAGAAGATAGATAATATAGTTTGCAAATGGAAATGGGATCAAGAGATGGAGGGAGATGGGGAGGGAAAAGGATTGAAGATACATTTTGTATGTGGACCAACTCCGCACAAAGAATGCAAATATTATGTAGTGGGAACATGTGGGGGGAGGGGTGGGGAAGAAAGAGGGAAAGGAGAAAAGAGAGAAGAGACAGAAGACCTGTGTAGGACATCCTCATGTCATCTATGGCTACATGCCAGGTCGAAATGCTCTTAAATGCCTAGGACAACCCTTGCAATCACACCTAGAAAAGAATCACCTTGAGAAGTTCTGATTTGAACATATGATAATATTTTCCAAAAATTAAAGACATACCATTCTTATTCCAAGAAGAAATCAAACCCACAAATCATATTTTTATTAGCGGTGCAATGCCACCTTCCATTCATGTCTCATGTTTTAATTAAATTTTATGAACTACCAGTACAAATCAATACAATGCTCTTCCTTTTACCAACAGCTTGAATGCTCTTGGAGCTTTCAAACAATGAGTTTACTGTAGGCAAACAGAAGGAAAGGAATCAGAGAGATAATTAGCTCATGCAGCTGGTGCTGGCTAATAAATAAATTATCCTCACATGGATGTAGAAACCACTCAAGGTTAACTGTACTTATTTTAAAAAACACTCTTTGAAATTGGAATAAAATGCAATTTTCAGAAGCATCTTGGTGATTGAGTTGAACTGCTTAATTTTAAAAATAATTAAATTACTTCCACCTCGCCTGGGGTGAGGGAACAAGTAGTAAAAACTTCCATCTTGCTGGACTCTGGCAGACAGATTGAGTTTTTTTTTTGTTTTGTATTTTTTTTCCTCCTGCTTTTCTTCTTATGGAAGCCAGAAGCCAGGAAGAGCACCCTGCTTTGAAAAAGAGATTGTTTGGTTCATAACTTTGGTTTATTTAAACAGGCAAGAGAGAGACTTAAATATGTCAAGATCTCATCAGTCAGAATGCAGTTCCCTTCTGGATAAGGTGACAGTGTCTCTTCCTCCAGTGTTCAGTTGCTCCTCCTCCTGCACCCTTTTCAGATGAAGTATCTACACAACCCTTGCCCAGTGGCCCCATCCAGGCCTTCACTCATCTCAAGGCCTGGACTTTCAGTGCCAGACAGTATCCGTGTTTGGCAAGATGTGGTATCAATCCGACATTCTGAACTGAAAGTTCCCACAATGCACTAAAAATATCTTCTTAAAAAAACATAAACACGTATATGCTAAATTGTGCTTAGTAAAGACTGCAAATCTGTAATTAAATAAGCAGGGGATAGCACACAAGCGAAAACACATCTTTAAATAAACAAATGGAGAAGGTTAAAAAAAGATGATAGAAAGATAAGCAGATTATTTTTGGTTAACCTTGAGGGGAAACAACACAGGATTTGTGGTGACTGGTCCATCTAGTCCACCTGATTTTGCCTGCGATCTTCATGAGGCTCATGAGTGAATGTCTGCATTTGACTCGGTTTGCTCTGCTGCCTTCTGAGGCGTTCGCATTTCTACAACTGGTGCGCCACTGACAGAACCATTCATATGAGGAGAAACGTGCTTGCCTTTCATTCTCCTGAACTTCTGACAAAGCTGGTCCTAATTCATGAATATTTCAATAAGCACAGAAAACAACAGATCTCGTTTTGTTGTAAACACAATCAAAACTCCACGCCACCAGGCTTGTCATCTCCTAATCATTCCGCCTTTGTCCGGCTCTTCCCTGGTGCATCTGGGCTATGTTTGCAGGCACGGCAAAGATTTTAATTCCTCTTGCATAAAGCCAAGTAGAGAGGAACTGAAGGCTCTCTCCTGTCGTCTCTTACTAATCAGTCAGATTCTTTTTGTGCCCTTTATGGCAGTCTTTTCCTTGTTGCAACCATTATTTTGGTAATTGCAAAAGGAAGATAAAATGTCGCTGCAGATCTGTCCCCTAGGAGCTCATGTCTTTTTGCTGCTTGTCTTCTGTTTCTGTTTGCGTAGGTGAGCTTCTATCTCGTGCCGGAAGACCAGCATCCCCAGCTGCCCGTGGGATGCCTCGTTCATAGCCTTGGACTGCATGCACATTTTGTACTGCTCAGGAGTCAGCTCGTCCACACAGCGCTTCTCATGCCAGAGGTGAAAGAGTCCCCGGACTGGCGTCCGCACCACAATGAGGTTGCTATGGAGATACTTTCGATACAGGTGCACATCCTCGCCGCCCCAGCCTTTGATATCCAAATCAAACCCACCTGTGGGGAGAGAATGGAGAATGCAGAGTTTAAAATCATACATGGGTCTATCCTCATCGGTCTTGACTCCCCTGCACTCCATAGCACAGAACTTGCCACGAAGAGCCATTTAGAAGTGCTGTACCGCTCCTTGGGGTTACCAGAGTGGCCAACTAGCTCGAGAGACCTTGAAAATGCCCCACAGAAATGACTTTCCCACAGACAGTGCAGACTTCTGGAGATGACAAGACCTTGTAAGGAATTCTAAGTGTTTGTTGGTGAAAGAGCCACTGGCAACCATAACAGATGGCCTGACCTGGAGCTAAGAGCTTCCGCCGCATCCCTGCTTGGTGACCTGAAGCCTCCCAGTGCAAGTTCTTAGGTTTCTGTCTGGATGTGGCTTTCCCCTGCAACTGCAAGCAGAATACACAGGGGCTTCCAGGGTGTGGGAATGGAAGGGGATTTTGCAATGGAAAAATTATGCCCCAAAAGAACTCTGCTTTTCACAGGCTACAGCGGCCCTGGGAAGCAGGGGGATGATGAAGTGGGTCACTTGAAAGGGGTGGACTCGGCGTCCATCCTGACGTTTTTAAGCAAAGAAACTGGATTAGTGAATCCCTTTCAAAGTCTGTTGTAGTCCACTGAGGTCTCAGTTTTGTAAACAGGTGTCCTCCGCTGACTAAAGCTACCAGGTCATGTACAGGACCAAAGAAGGACCAGCCTTTTTGGCATCATCGTTTTCTCTCCTGGGAGATTTAGCCACCTCTTGCAAAGTGATTCTCAACATCTTCCTACAGTTGTTTTCTCTTGGCCCCTTTACTCCCTGAACACCCTCACCACACACACACACACACACACACACACACACACACACACACACTATGCTCTGATCCAGGAAGGATCTGGCCAGAACCAGGAAGGGGGCTCAGGCACCGGAAAACACAATGAACCAATCAACCCCTGGCTGGGTTTATGAAGGACCTGGCCTCTCAGTTAGGGGGCAGCCAAAGACAAGGGGCTAATTATGAGTCATAAGGCAAGAGTTTATATCTTAGCTCTTTTAGCAGCTCCCACTTATCCTTCTTTTAGTGTTTTCAACCCCTTAGTAAAGTAACTATCATAATCAAATGTAGTACTGTAAGGACCAGAGCTTGGATAATTCTAGGTGATTTATCACTGTTACTGTTATTTATAGCTTACTAAACACAAGGCGCACAAGCAGGGCACTTGCTGATAAGTACCAGATTGCAGAGAATGGGGGCTACTGGGGCGCAGAGGTCACTCAAGGTCGCAGCAGCTGCTTCCTTCTGAGGAAGGGCACCCTGCCCAGCCTGCCACGCCCCACCTTTTGGAGCGAAGGGACATTCATCTTTAGAAAAATCCAATATGATGAACGAATCAGAATGAGTCCAAATCTGGTAAGCACATGTGTCTTCACAGAAGGGTCTCTTTACAAAGAGCAAGGAAACAGTTTCTTGAATGGAAATCTTTGGAAAAAGTGTTAAAGTATCACTTTGGGACATGTGAGTGGATATAGTAATTTAGGAATATTTCCTCTCGATGGAGGCACGAGGAGCAGCTGTGGTCAGTTGTTGGGTGTCCTCAGAGCAGCCATGACTAAGGGAGCAGCACCCTTGTGGTTTGGTACTTCTTACGGGACTTAACCCAAAGGTTGTTTGATCACCCTCCAACCTCCCTCTCCTTCTTTCTCTTATGTTTCCTTCCTTCCTTCCTTCCTTCCTTCCTTCCTTCCTTCCTTCCTTCTTTCCTTCCTTCCTCCTGCCCTCTCTCTCCCTCTTTCCCTTTGTGATCTGCCTGCCTCAGCTTCCTAGTATCCAGGACTATAGGTACAGTATATACCAGAATGCCCTACCTTTTCCCTTTCCCTTGTTTCTTTCCTTTCCTCTCCTCTCCTCCTCTCCTCTCCTCCCCTCCATTTCTTCCCCTTTCCTCTCCTCCCTGTCTTCCAGAGCCTCACTCCAGAGCCTCACCTCTCTACCACTGAGCCACACCCTTAGCCCTTCTTTTTAACCTATAGCCCATGTCATTACTGAAGAAAACAAACCCAAGGCTGCTCCTACACCCCAATTTTAAAACAAGAAGTTTAGAAGCTTCTTGGCCTTGGGCCTGAGGGGGCATGGGTGGTAGGAGATTAGGAAAGAGCAGGATGGAACATCCAGGGGACCAAGAAGGGGACGCTCCCTTGCCTTGTAGCAGGGCCTGCTGGCCACTCAAGGCACAGGCCAAGACTCCCCACTGGTTTTCTCACCCTAGTGGTGTAGAGTCCCATTCTATTCTCTTCAGAGGTGCACATATAAATACTGCTGAGGGGAGGTGGTGAGGCACTTCCACGGTGGACTCTACGTCCTTGTCTTATGTAGTCCTCTATCTCTGAGAGCACTCCTCGATTTTGCTGAAACCTGCCTTTCTGCACTGTGCTCTGGAAACCCGTGCGTGCATGCACGCGTATGTGTGTGTGTGCGCGTGCACACAAACGCATGTATTCTGACAGCACCTGCACACTCAGGCTGGGCTTGGTGACATCTAGAACTTTCCTCACATCCTCAGAGACTCTGCACAGGGCCCCATCCAGGACCCATGCAGCAGTAGGAGGCGCTCAAGAACCAGCCTCAAAGCTGCGCAGGCACGGCAGAGTGATGTCTGAGGAGAGCAAAGGTGCTGGGGGACACCATGGGGGCCAAAGTGCTGCCGGCTCCCAAGGCCCCTCTTTTCCAGGCTGCACCATGGACACATTTTTTAAGGAAATGGCAGCATCTTGGCCCTCAACTCCTAGGAAACCCACTGGGCTCCCTCAAGGGCTGTACGCGGAGTAGCCTCCAGGTGGCAGCAGAGATGCAGCTGCGTCTCACCTATGTTGATGAAGTCCGAGCGATACTGGCATGTCATCCCAAATCCAAAGTCTCTCCAAAATCCAGTTTCCTTCTTTATGACCTGCAAAGAAAGCATGGCCAGACTGGGTGCATAAAACCGAGCATTCACAAGGTCGGATGAACAGCGCTCCGCAGGGAGTCCGGCCCGGTCCTCCTCCACAGCCACAAGCCCGGGTGGGAGCAGAGGTGTCGGGGTCCTCACAGCCAGGAACACAGGAGCGTCACCAGTGGCCAGGCGGGACCCTGTGAGCACCGGTTTTGGCACTTCTTGCTGGAATGTTTGTACAGTGTATGCCTGAGAAGCCTTCTGCCTCTTAATCAGAAACAAACCAGGAGAGCAAGTTTTTGAGCAGTGCCATGGAAAACCCACCTCCGTGCCTGGCGCACCCCAGGGCCAAGGAGAAGTCCAGGCTCAGGCCCGTCGCACAGGCCTCAGCAGCGAGCCAGCAAGGGGCTCAGGAAGCTGAGAAACAGGTTGGAGAACCGCTTGAATTCAGCTGCCATGGCACAGCCCACCAGCAGGACTCCTTCGGGGACGAAAATGAAATCTCCAGAGACTCTGCTACCTTTGGTCTGCGGAGGGAAAGGCCACCCGGAGGCCAGGTTCTGAAGAAAGCCTGCCCGTTCATCCTGACTTTATTTTGGAACCCAGCTGCTCTGGAAATCCCGCACAGAGGTGCCAGCCTGCAGGGCGGCCGAGAGGCCAGCCAAGCAGTAACTGTCTACTCAAGGGGGTGCGGGGGAGCAAGGCCTGGCTCAGTTCAGTCTCCTGTTTTGCAAGTAAATTTCCAATCAGTTTTGCTAAGGCGACAAAACGTCGTGAAAGTTTTATACATATGTTTTTGGCAGAGTTGATTCTGGGAATGGTTTTGAGATCGTGATAGTTCTGTTTGGGATTTGCTCTTGTAGTCCGTATAGGTGCCTAGCAGGAGGGAAGCTGCCTTCCCTGGAACAGAGCTCTGCTGGCCACCAGGCCAACCCCAGATGGTGCACAAGGGGGGAGGGAGGAGCAGCAGTCTGGTCCCAGCGTGGCCACTGGCTGGCTTTTCATCTCAAGCAATTCCCAACCTGTCTTCAAGCCTGGGTTTTCCTTATTGTGAGAGGAGGGGTTGAGCAAATCACCCCTTGGGATGGTTTTGCCTCAAGCATGCAAGCCCCACATTGCTGCCACACCATCTTCTGGAAGCTTTGATGCGGAGTAAATCATATTGATGAACACCTTGCAGAAGGACTGAGGAATCTTAATAATTCTTTTACTCAAGAACCTATGACACCACCTTATTTTCACTGCCAGCTACAGGTACAAGTTAATCCGCACCAAGACCACCTACAGGAAACCTGGACCAGCAAGGTTTGTGGGTAAAATCTTCCCCTAGTCCTACTCTCCAAAGCCACTGCAGACCAATGGCTCTCCTACAACCCCTCCCACATGACGAGAACATTGCATTAGTGTCAGCTGGAAGGATTCTGCCAGGCAGAGAAGTCTGGAAAAATATACAGTGGGTCATTTTTTAAAAATGGATTTTACTCCGTCTCTGTCATCCCAGGTACACAGTTTCTGTGGTGGCTGAAGTCTTAGTATCCCCTGTGGCCAGGATGCAGACAAGTCCTCTAAGCTTCTGGATAAAAAGAGATTTGGGGAGAAGCCCAATACCCAGACTCCAGCTATTTGGCTGAGGAACACATGGAACTTGAAAGAGAAAGCTCCACCCAGGAAAGGCGGCTGGCCAGGGTGTGGAAAGCAGAATCAGTGTGCTCCCAAGACTCTGGACTGATTCTATGCCATGCTTGACAAGACTGAACAAGCTAAAGGGTGACCCTTACCTCAGGACAATGTGATAGTGACAAACTGATTTATGACTGAGGAGAGAGCTATAGAAACAGGTATTAAAGTTGATTTTAAAGTTGGCAAGTTGCAAAAAGCCACTACGTGAAGGGCTCACTGAAATACAGCCCTTTGTGGAAGCCAATTTGGTTGTGCCCACAGCATATAATTTCAGGGCAAGACAGAGTTCGCGTAGTAGAGGTTCCACCACCACAGCTGACCATGCTGGACTGGAATGGTGCCCTCAGTGAACAGCCCAGGGCAGCGAGCGATCCCAAGCTCTCATCCAATACTGATGCTGTCATGGTCCCATGAAAAGCTTTGCAGCAGTTTGTAGGTACAAGAAGAATAAAATCCTCTGGTCTTCCTCAGCTTGGCCCTGCCTGCCTCACCCCATTCCCTCCTCCTATTCTCCCTATTATCTACAGCCCTGTCTCCCATCCCACTCCCAAGCTCCCTAGGCTCACAGGCATTCATGGCAGGACCCCTACATTCCCCCACCTGGTCAGCCTTCCTCCGCTGCTCAGTGAAGCTGATAGTTGTCCTGATCCCTCTGACCAGTGTCAGTGCACTTGCCAGCCACACATCGGTCTCCCCCTATCAGCCTGGCCTGTCTTCTCCATAATGCTTATGGCTTTCTGAAATGATATTGCTAAGATGTGTTTCTCTGTTTGTGAGTGGTCTTCCATCACCACCATGACTCAATGCAAAAGTTCATTTTGATCTCATTGGCTGCTGAATCTCTAGCCTTGGGACACTGTCCAGCACACAGCCAGCAATTCACAGACACCTCTTCACTAAAGAAAGGGGGACCAGTGCTGGGCACAAGGCGTTCCCACTCAGAGAAACAGCCACACTGCAAGGAGGAGACACTGTCAGCATGCAATTTTGGAAGGGATAGGAAGTCCAATGGCATCAGAACTATCGCTCTAAAGCCATATTAATAGGCTGAGCTATGAAAGGCTCAAGTCAACAACTTCTGACATTGCCAGTCTTAACAGAAATCCCATTACTATTATGGACTACTGGACTATATTGGAATATTTTGTTGAATCATGCACCTATAATATTTAAATGACAATGGAATACCCTTCTTTGACAAAACTAAACAAAAAAGGAGATACAAATGAACCACCATTTTATATCTGTATATTCAAAAGAGTTATGATAGATATACAGCTACATTCTCTTAATTCAATGAATAGAAAGATTTATTCTAATAGTGTTTGTGGACAGGATATCATGTCTGCATCTTCTACAGTGAATAACCACTAAGACAATAATATGCAGTGTATTAAGTATTGAAACTGTCCTACTAATCGGTCTTGAAACTGTCTCGTTGCTATTTGTTTTTCAATAAAATTATTTACAAAATAAACTAATAGACAAAACTGTTTTCACTTTCCTGGGGCCTGAAGGTAAAAAGGGCTCCTTAGGAACTCTGCCTTGGGCATAAGGAGCTCCACCATTCTATTCAAGCATAAGAATATATTTACCAATGGTGTCTACAATGCAGGAACAGAAAAATATTTAAAAATTAAAAAAGTTTAAACTCAAAAAACATCTCTTCCTGTCCCAAATTCCACTGTCTTTAATTGCTATTATTATTATTGCTACTACTATTTTACAGTACTAGGCATGAACTCAAGGGCACTCTAAACTTGAGCTGCATCTATCCTCAGCCCCTTTTAAGTAAAAAATTTTGAGACAGGATATTATCAGTTGTCCAGGCTGGCCTCAAACTTCCTGCCTCAGGTGCCTGAGTGTCCAGGATTACGCGTGTGTGCCTCAGTGTCCGGCAGGCCATGCTCACCTATAAATGAGGTCTAAAGGCCCCAGTCTCTGTGCACACCTTCCCTCCCACCTCAGACCATGCAGGGCCTGAAGATTCCACAGAAGGATAGTGACCAGGCAGGCTTTCCCACAGGAAGTCTGCAGAGCCCCAGCCCTGTAGGCGCTCCACGTGACAGGGCTGATTATTTTCTATTAGAACCCAAGCACAAAGCACAAATCAGCATCTCTCCTGAAGCTGTGGCAGGCAGCCACCCGCAGCTGCACAGGGAGCTGGTAAGCAGGCAGCGCCAGGCTGCCTTAATGGGGCTGCCTTGGACAGCTGCCTGTGAAGCAAGCTGGACCCTAGATAAAAAGTAAGTAACAAACACTCAGGCAGACTCTCTCCTTTTAACCAGGCTTTCCCGAGCTCAAGGACCGGTACGGCCAGCCCTGCATTCAGCAGTGTTGCCTATGAGCTGATCTGAGGGTGGATACCCATGAGATCTAGGCAGCCACACAGGGCCCAGGATTTTTTTTGTTGTTGTTTTTTAATTTTAATACATGATCTACAGGATCTCACTATGTAGATCACGCTCATAGTGATCTGTCTGTTTTCAGCCTCCCAAGTGCTGGGATTACAGGTGTGCGCCACCATGCCCAGTCTCAATCGCTGTCTCAGGCTCCCAGGCGGGACCCACAATACACTCTGGGGATCAAACCCCAGCTGCTGTGCTCTGCCTAAGCAGGCGTTTTAATCCACTAAGCTTTGGCTGAGGGCCCAGGATTGGAAGAGCTCACTCTTGCTGTTACTGTCTGAAAATTCTTTATTTTGGGAGCTAGGGTTTGCATTTTCATTTTGCTCTGGGATGTGTGACTTAGACTTCAGGTCCTCCTCCATGAATACAGGCACCATGGGCTATGAGGACTGCTGGGTCTGGCTTGGGGCTGCGCTGCACATTCTTTATTAGCCTGGGGCTCTGTGGTCATAATGCGCAGGAACCCGGGGCTGGGCATCCTTTCTGGGTGGTCTCTTGCTATCAAGGCAGAGACTTGCTCACATTCACGCCACCTGCTGCAGTTGAGTCCAGAGCAATCCGAAGATTGCTGTGGCCATCTCAGCTCCATTTCTTAAGAATTAAGTACTTTGGAGCCGCCGCTTTCAAAGAATTCACTTAAGGGTGACTTAAACGCCTTCTCCTTCCAGGTTCGTACTCAATCACATTTTCCTGCATATCTTTTTTTTTTTTTTTTTTTTTGGTGCCAGGACATGAATTCAAGATCTCCACACTGAGCTATACACAAGTCCCTTGTTTTATTTTGAGTTGCCAAGGCTGGCCTGGACCTTGTACCCCTCCTGCCTCAGACTCACAGAGTCCTGGAATTATGACCCTATAGGCCCCACCACATCCAGCTGTGACTGTGCCTTCTAGGGGTTCCGTGCTGGATGGGGGTGCTCCCACTTCCAGTATCTAGACTCTGCCATGCTAAAGCACCTTGAAATTAAAGGATATGTCTGTCCCTTGTCCCTCAGTAGCCTCAGTCCAGGCTCAGCTCTAAGACGCGGCTCTTGAGTTCTCTCCTTGGTCACTTAGCTGCTGTGGGAGTCGGAACAGTGACTGGAGCTCTCTGAGCCTCAAGTTGCTCATGCATGACCTGAAAGCCATGGTTCCTTCCATGATGTAGGATAATGTGGGAACAGAATGGGCAGGAAATGACAATTATTATTGTTATTTTTGTTAGTGAGCGTATCTTTTTGGAATAAATAGACCGCCAGGAGGTACTGGATGGACTACACCCAGTAGGCAATTGGAGGAGGCTGATGTCTGAGTCTACAGATGCATTCTGTTGGAAGGGGCTTGGAGAGGGTGAGCAGGACCCAGCACAGGGTGCATTCAGTGACCAGGGTGACACACAGCCATGAGGTGGGGCCACCATGGGGCAGACAGACACGCTTGTGTCGAACACTGAAGACACTAGAACTGGTAAGGAGACAGCACTAAAGTGAAAGGACAGGACTGGTGAGATAGCTCGGCAGTCTAAGTGCCTGCCGGGCAAGCTCAAGGACCCAGGTTGGTTCCCTGGTACTGCATGACATGCTGGCCCTAGAAACCCAGGCATGCTGTGCCAGCCACTTAAAGCAGACGTGGTGGTGCATGCCTGTAATCCCAGCACTGGAGAAGCTGAGACAAGAGGATCACTATGAGCCTGAACTGCGTAGTGAGACCCTATACCAAATTTAAAAAATAAATACAAAAATAAATAAAGTAAAAGGACAGTCAGAGGACTAGGAGCAGGTATGCTACTAGAAGCAGGGCTGGCCTGGGGATCTGCTGAGCTAATACCAGGTACCAGGTGGTAGGTTTACGGAGACTTTCTGTGTCATCAGATTGGGAATGGGTGGTGGACAGTTAATCCCAACAAAAAATCAAGGTTCATGGGGCCAGACTAGAGCCAAGGAGGGACAGCGCACAAGGACATCATATTGGTGGCAACATTTACACCACGGAAATAGGTACACGCCATCAATCAGAGCTCTCATCCCTCTTTAAGACAGTGGGAAGTGAAATGTTTACCAGCACATGACTGGCTTTATATCATAAAGAATTTTTTAAAATGCAATTAATCTGTGTCTTTGAAACATTTGTCCAGCAGAGGGTAAAGGAAAATTTGCAGTATAGGGGAGAGTCCGAGTCCAAAGATGAAAGCAGAAAGCAGTAGGAGGCTCCTGCAGGGACCTAATGAAGAACTAAAAAAGTGTGACCAGAAAAGCGGCATGCCTATGGGCACACTTCTTAAATTATAGTCACCCCTTTCTCTGCAAGCTGGGTCTACATTACCATGCTGCTAAGTTTCATCTCACATTTTGAAACTCAAAAAATTAAGTGTTAGTATAAAATCCCATGATGTCGCTTATTACTAATGATCTGTACCCAAAGGTAAAGAAAGACGTGTCTGAACACGCAGAGAAATCATCAGTTCGGTTCCTTCCTTGTATCCGCAGCCACAATATAAAATGTAAGTGGCAATAGTCAGGACAAGTGAGAACCAGCACAGTGACAAACGAGGTCATATTCACAGGGATGCTGGAGAAGGCTGTCTCTTATTTGCATAAGTAAGTAACTTTTATTACAGTTGTGTTTTATATCTCTCTTCCCCTTTACCAGTGATCCTGACATACTCCTATCAGGATTTGTCAAGGTGTGTGTAGCATCTTTTTCAAGACGAGCCAAAATGCACCCTCAGGAGGAATCTTCCCTCATTTGTCCATCTCCAGCCATTACTTTTTATTTCACCCCTCCTTACCACATGTATCCTCTATCCCCTTTGTATTAATTTCTGCCGCTTGATGTTCGCCTTTGGAGCTTCTGTCAGGCCATTTGCTTTCCCCTTCCGTGCTCATCTTAATCCTCAGCAAATCTATTTCCACTTCCCTAGAGTGAAGAAAGCCTGGCCTGGGGCTGAGCTCTGTTCCAGGCTGGTTGTACAATCCTAGACTACCCATGCTTCGCTGATAGCAACAGGAGGTCAGCGAAGTCTCTTACTGATGCATTGAGAGAAAAGGGAAGGCCTACCTTCCTCCACCAGCACACTGGTTAGTCCTCGGGAAGGAGCAAGCACTGATGACAAGCTCTGTCCTGTGAGCAACGTACTCATATTTTGCTTTTGGGGGTTAGGGAACTTTCAAGTTGCTATTTTCACTGGACTAAATCATCACAAAAGCTGAACTACGAAAGATCAGATTTATGACATCCAAATGATTTGGGAAGTAAATGTCAAAGGATGCCAGGTAATTCAGAGCCTCTAGTGTGGAGGCAAGAATTCTGAGTTGTCTCTGCACTGACCAAAAAGCCTGCGGGTCTGGGAGTCCTGCCGCCGCCGGGTCCTGTGTCTCCAGCTTCTCGGCACCCGCCTCTCCACAGAAATAATACGGAAGGAAAACACTTGCAGATTGTGGGATGAAAAGAACGCCTTGCAAGCAAATAGGGTGTTCGTGGGTTTGAGCTAGAAACATGAATCACCTCTGATGTCAAATTTAAAACCAAAGGAACATGAGGGGTCGAAAGAACACAACTGTGTATCTACCCTTTTTTCCCCTAACACTTCAGTAGAAGCTTGAAACTGTTAGGAGAGGAAACGAGACGCTTCTGTCTCTATGGGGGAGGTATTGCTTGCGGGCAGGTGAGAACTGGCTCTTGGGGAATAAAAATGTGTGGTTTTTATTCTAAAACACAGCTATAGCTACAGCACACCAATAGACACACAGAGCATCCCTGAGGTTCACACTTCGTGGGGAAGGACGGCACTCCTTTTCTTGGTGTGTCACCCCGCTTGAACCCTCCAAAACCAAGGGAGGATGTGAAGGAGGAAGGCGTCTATCTGGCCGCACACTGAGGCCGCAGACACATCCATATTCTGGAAAAGCTCCCCTCGTGGGCGGGCAGAGGGTAACTGAAGGCAGAAAGGTGAAGGGCACAGGTTTTGCTACTTCTGCAAGCTCAGACACAGAGTCAGTTGCCTAAAAGAATTTTGCAGAAAGACATGAAATACATATTTACAGTGAAAACCCATTTACCCTCCTGCTACACAGAGCGGGAGAGATTTGGTCTTATCTGTCTTCACATCCTGCACCACAGTTCCTTCCTCCTCCACCTCCCCAAGCGGTGTTCAGTGGGCAGAATCCGGGCTTTGTTGCAACAGAAGGCAGAGCTACTCAAGACGAGCGAGAACAGACAGCCCCTGGGGTCAGGACGGCCTGCTGAGACTCAGCCTGGGCCAGAACACAGTTGTGGACAAGCCAGCCAGGGTCCCTGTAGGAAAGACCACAGCCCCGCATGTGGCGGGCAAAGCTCTCCTCTCTGCCGATGTCGGCAATGGTGGAGCAGCCCTGCTTGCTGAGGTTTTAGCTACTGTTATCCATCACAGTCTGGAACTGTTACATGAAAAATTGCAGAAATAAGCATTCATAAGTTGTAGGTAACATTTATTTTCATAACTATTCTATTGTTATCTCTTACTATGCCTGATTTATAAATTAAAACTTTATTATAGGGGTGCACATGTGGGGAAATGTACGGTCTACAGAGGGTTAAGTACTAGTCCAGGTTTCAGGCAGCTCCGGGGGTCTTGGAACAGATCCCCCGCAGATCAGAACAGCCTATGCAATGGGCAATTCAGTCTTGTAGGGCCCAGCTGTGGTACAGAGACCCCCCTTCCAGGGAGCCTCGTCCTCCCGCTGCCTGCGCTGCTTCTCTGAAGACGGATGTGGTGGCCGGGGTCTCTGCTTACAGAGACTCTGGAGATTGCGGGGCTTCCCTGCCCACCACCTGCACTGCCTGGGCCTCCAGACGGGCAGAGAAGTCCCTCCACAACTTCTCAGCCAGGTCGTCATGATGCCTCTGGTGTCAGTGTCCACCCAGCCACAGTGACACACACCTAGGGCCAGGGACCTACCACATGCCCTGGGGTGGGCCACCCCTCCCTAACATCTATTTTCCACCTGACAGATGGGAACATAAATCTCACACCTTTCTTACCTGGCAAGAGTTTAAAAATGTGCTCTAGCTTCAGTCATAATGCAATCATACTAGTTCCCCCAGACCATAGAAGAAAACCATGAAGGTGTGAAATTACCCTCCTGGAAGGTTCTATTTCTATTTGTTTTCTGCTTTTAAATATTGCAGACACTTTTAATCAACAAGGCACTGGGAGCAAAGGCCAGAACATCTGCCAAGCTTCAAAGCTACTCAGGGAATCAGTTCACAGGTTCCCACTCACCTTTCCTCACGGTCAGGTGCCCCTGGTAATGACAGGCTTGAGACAGAGCCACCCAAAGACATCTGCAGGGCGATTACTCACCAGCTGCTGTTCCAGGGGCGGGATGGCATCGTGGTGGCCGTAGATTATCCCGGGGTTGTACTGACTGAAAAGGACCGGATAAAACACCTTCTTCCCTGCAAACCAGGAAACAGGAAGCCTCTAGAAGTGGCAGATTCAATCCACTATTTCTTCATTTACATTTAGCTCTCTGCAACATCCCACATATTTACATCTGCTTTTCCTCTTCCTTTCCCTCAACTCTAGAGCACGAGCTAGAAGTGGATGAGACAGTCAGATTATTGAATATTCCCGCTTTCCCGGAACAGAAATTGCATATGAGATATGGACAGGTGGTTGTGCTGACCCTGGCATCCTCCAGCAGGGGTGGGTGTGGGTCAGAGTCTGGGGCTCCCCCTCTAAAGCTGGCTCCTTCGGCCCTGGCAACTGCAGACGAGGACAGTCAGCGCAGTTGCTCTTCACCAATTTACATGGAAGAAGTTCTGTATTTTAGCAATGCCTTGGCCATGCCAGTAACTCTTAGCTGATTAACCCTGTGCCTGAGTCAAGGTCATGCAAGGGATTTTCATGCTGTGAGGCCTCTGCCTGCAGCCCTTCCTCTCTTCCTCAGAAACTGCTCATAGTGCTTTCCTCCTCTGGACCCAGGTGCCTTGTCCAGTCCAGGTCCTCCCACCACACCTTCTCCTGTGCACGACCCAAAAGCAAACAGGATGGGGTGTATTTAGATACATAAACTTTGCACAAAGTTCCGAGATTACGGGAACTCACAGCCCTGCTGTGCAGCACTCAAAGGAAAACCAAACTAGATCACCATCATCTCCTTTGTAAAATAGGCTCATTCTGAATCAAGACTCGGAGTAAACTGCAGAGAGTCATCCCTGGATGAGGAGAAGCCCAGACCTGGCTGTGTGTTCAGCCTGCATGTGTTGAGGAACTCCGAGGTGAAGTAGATGTCCACATCACAGAAAAAGAGAAGGACATTGCTGCCCTTCCAGAAGCGAGCTCCGACATCGAGTCCCTTCCCCCTGGAAAATTCTCCATTCAGTTGGATGAAGGTGAAGTTCCTAAAGTTGGCAGCTCTAGAAGGGAAGAGGAAAGGAAGGTCAGGCTTAGGCATTTGTATATCCAGGTTGTGGAATTCCCCGGAAAACATACCACCAGGGCCATCTACCCTTGCTCTTTCTTCTGTAACCCCAAGGGCACTGGGCCCACCCAAGCAGGTACTGAATGATCCCCTCAGTAGAAACCACTTAGATTAAACAGATCAAGAATATGTAGTAAACTTTTAACCTGAATTTATTTCCTATTTCTCTGGCAATTTCCCTATATGGAAATCAGCACTATCACCCCTAGCAAATGCTCTCAGTGAAGGAGAAAACCTGGACCAGTGAAGCCACGAGCACAGTTGAGGAAAATCCCCATACGTCTCCAGCACCCACACGAACCCCTCAGCGCAGGAGAGTAATCCACATAGAAGGGGCTCTCCAGCCATCTGCTCATCTGTACTCGAATCCAGAAACCAGACAAAATGTTCTTGATATATATCTGCCTTGACGCAGAGTGAAACCTGGATTTGTTCCCCACCCTCGGGTCACAAGGTACAGCAGGGCAGGAAAAATGACCGTCTGGGAGTCAGAAGCGAAAACAGGCTCAGAGCTGGCTTGCTGCAGATTAGCTCTGGGAGGCAGGAAAGCCCATTAATTTCCCTGAACCCCAGTTGCCTCATCTGCAAAGTGGGAATAATAACACCCTCCTACTTCACAGGGCGATTAGCTAGATAAACGATGCCAAGAACGCAAGGCATGCTCTAAGCACCAGCTACTGCAGTCATTAGCACCGATGAGAATTCCCAGGCTCTGCACGGTGAAGCCAAGACACTTCCAAGAAAAAGCAGAACCTGCTGGAAAGGCAGCACGTCTTGAGCAAAACCAAATGCGTGTGGCACAGGGCCTGTCTTCCGTCAGACTCACAGGAGTACCAGTGCCCCTCCCCCTCCTTGCCAACATCACCGCTCTTGTCACAGTGGCTTCATCCACCCTGCCCGTGCCCCACCTGCTCCAGTCCCACCAGTGCTCAGCCGCTCTTTCATCTTGCTACGTTCAAAAGGCCCAGAAGCCCATTTCTATTTTTAAAAGTCCATGTTTCAAGCAACTATCTCAGTTGCAAGATCAACACCAAAGTAGTCATCACCTCTTAATGTGCTACGCTGGACTGGCATCTGGTGACTTAATAGGGAGAACCAGTTCTGCTCTCACTCCTTGGACTTGTATCCTCTCAGATCTGAGAAGAGGCTTGATTTCTTATCTAGGGAATCGGAGGGCCTTGACCAAGTCTGAGGCGAGACAGGCCTCTCAGATAGAGATCAAGGCAGGAGGCCTCAGGATGGGAAGAACACTCTCTATGAGTCAGGAAGCCTACATACAGGGCCCCGAAGCTGTGCTTGGTCAGCACCAGGAGCTGGTAGTTACTTCTGAGTAAATGAATGAATATATGGCTGCATCTAACCTTTGCTCTACCTCTAATGGCTTTTAGGACAAGTCACCTTATCCCCTTGCCTTAGTTTCAATATTATAAACCCATTGGTTACAGAGTTCTGAGGTCCCTTTACAATCCATCATTGTCTTTTCCTAAGATCCTGTGTTCATTTCAACCCAGCTCATCTCTGAGTAATTCTCTTCTTTCAAAGCCTTACCTTAGAACCTCTCCTCTGGATACACGAGCTCAGCTCATCCCTGCTGTCAGCAACACTGAAGCTGTGCTCCAGAGCTTTTGGAGTGTTAGGTCTGGCACTGGCTTAAGAGCACTACTTCCCTGTTTGCAAAGACATGCTGCTGGCATGAGCCCCTAAAGGTGACCTTCATAACCCAAGGTCTCTACAGCTGAACATCAGCACAACCCGTTTCTCCTGTCCTGTTTGGTCAACAGCTGAGGAAGCTTTCCCATGACACAGGCCTGGATTTTCATCTGCTTATCTAAGGGCATCTCCTGCCTGGTCTTGAAGGTGTTTGGCACCATCCAGAGGCTTGCTCTGCTTTAACGGTGACAGGTCTCTTTCTTCAAGCTTATACCCTTTACGATGCCTGCTCCTTTGACTGCTGGGATGTCTGCTAGCTAATTTTCAGAGAAGAGAGGACACCCCCAAGCATAAAGATGGAGAAAACCCCTATTTATTTGGGTTGAATCTGACTCAGAATTCAGGTACCTTTCCTGGGAGGCTTTCTAGAATCAACTGCACATGATTTCAAATCTAAAAATATTTTATGTGAAAAACAGCATGTAACTTGCTAAGGCAAGAGCCACGCAGTTTCCTTAATATGCTACATTAAAGGAACACTGAGAATTAACTTCCCTTTTGAATAGACAACAGTTCATTTACATTGACACATCAAATATTTATGAATGCTAAATCATACTGAATAGTTAAAAATACAAGGCAGTATGAGATACTAAGCCAACAGCGTTGAAGGTATGACAAGCCTGTGGGTGATAATCGCAAAGCAACGGCACAGAGAAGTTGAGTGCTCCAAGGAGGAGAGATTAGTAATCTGGTACAGATGCCTGCCTAGTATAGGAATGAATCTATTTTGTTTTGTGCAAAATTCCGCAAACCTTAACTTGAGCTGCCGCCTCACATATGCTGTTCTCTCACTATAGGAGAGGACCGAGGCAAAGGACTGTGCTTGCATGATAAGCCCAGGAGAAAGGAGAGGGCACTTCTCACAGTATCTAGGGTTCGAGATGGCTGGAACTTGGAAGAATTTTTCTTTAAAAGGTCAGCCATCAGCCTCTATGCTTCAGTGTATTGCTTCTAGACAGGGAGAATTCAGAAAAATGGGTGCTCGAAAGACCTTTATCTTGTCTTTCACAAAAGGCAGTTTCCTTCCTTTCTCCTCAGTCAGCTTTTCTATAAGGACAAGACCCTCTGTGCTGTTTTCTTGGCACTGTCTGTTCTGAATTTGCATATCAATCCATGCTCCAGGGTGAGCAGAGGGCCCTCCCACAGGCCAGCTTTGGCCCTGAAGGTGGACCCCTCTATCTGAGCCTTGTTTCCCTGGAGCACTCTCAGCGCTCTGCCTCTGAGGCCCTACCTGACCTCCTCATTCACCCCAAACAACCTGGTCAGGAGGCATTGCCCCCTGTGACTTCTGGCCTGGAAGCCTGGATCATGCCGGCTCCTCTCCAAAGCTCTGAGACCTTGCCACATACTGATTAGGCAGCAGGATAGGAGTCCATGCAGTAGGCAGGCTGGGGATCCGGGAAGTACTGGTGTGGGAAGACTGTCCCCCAGTCCTAGGCCCCAGAGAAGATCAGAGTGCTAAATCTGCCATATGTCTGTGGTTCCCTGCCTGGCCAGCAACAACTTCAGTCCACTTGTAGAGGGATAGTGGAACCATTCACCCTCCAAATTCCTCAATCCAAGGCTTCTCTAATGAATAATCAGGAAGAACCACTCCTCCTGCTTCTTGGCCACTGGGAAGGGCATCTGGGGATTAATCACCAAGCTCTCTCTGTGCAGAAAGGGAGTTGAGTTGGAAGCAGCTGAGGAACAATGGGGATAATTTCACTTGTTTCTTTTTCCTTTTTCTTTTTTTTTTTCAATAGTTTTATTGAGAAACAAATAGCAATGAGACAGTTTCAAAACTGATTAGTAGGACAATTTCAATACTTAATACACTGCATATTGTTGTCTTAGTGGTTATTCATTGTACAAGATGCAAACAAGATATCCTGTCCACAAACACTACTAGAACAAATCTTTCTATTCACTGAATTAAGAGAACGTAGCTGTATATCTATCCTAACTCTTTAGAATATACAGATACAAAATGGTTGTTCATTTATATCCCTTTTTTTTGGTTTAGTTTTGTCAGAGAAGGGTGTTCCATTGTCATTTAAATATTACAGGTGCATGAATTCAGCAAAATAATCCAATATAGTCCAGTGGTCCATAATAGTAGTGGGTTTTCTGTAAGACTGGCAATGTCAGAAGTTGTTGACTTGAGCCTTTTTCAGCTCAGCATATTAATATGGCTTTACTTTTTATACTTCATTTTTATACTTTTCTACTGGATGGTTAAGACCAAGAAAGAGCAAGACCTTGATAATAAGAAATGTAGCTTTTGTATCGGACAAGGATTCTCACCCTCTTTCCTTTCCAGAGCAGAGAGATGAACACATCATGAAGCCGCTGGGCCTGGAAGTGGGACGCCTTCCTCTTCTCAAGCTCACCAGCACCAGCTGTCCACCTGGGAAACCCAGGCTGCAGCCGGAGGCCTAGGAATTGGCTTCCTTAAGCCAGCCTGGCTGCTTATCTTCGCATATTCATTTTGAAACACTGCCCCAGGGCAGGGGCTGGCATTACTAGACAAAAATGCCTCCCTCTATGCAGTAAGGCCCTGACAAGGCAATGACCCAAAACACTGACTTGCCCAAGGGGGTGTGGTGGGGTATCTGGGATTATGTACTCGGTGGCTGCAGGGCTGCAACCAGATGTATAGACTGCTGAGGTGCACAGGCAGTTATGGGCCTTGGTCCTCTGTCACCCCTTCCCACAGTGCCAGCCCGGGGTGGATGTGCACGTGGCCTAAGCACCAGGGCATGGGCCAACAGAGCTGCCTGTCTGCGTAGGTCCTTCTCCAGAATGTGCTTTCTTCAGCCACTGCTGTGAAAATCATACTCATCCTTTCAGACCTCCTCTTGTCCCAGCTCTCTCAGACTCACAGTAAGCTGAAGTGCCCTCTCCCAGCTCCCAGGCCTTGTGTCTGGTCCTGCTCCTGTGTCTTGTGTCCTGGTGGCTTCTTGGGGCTTTGCTTATTCAGAATATCCAAGCTGCTCTACTGGCTCTAAAAGCTTTGAGGGCAGCCACTGCCTTACTCTCTTGTTTCCCATCTTTATAGATTTTCCAGGACTATGTAGTAAATGGCACACTCAGGGACACTGGGGTAGTAGATCAGTACTGGAAGAACCAAGAGATGAATAAAATAACAACACTGAGGCTCACTTCTGGGCCACGCTGAAGGAGGTGTTGCCCAGGGATGCCTGTCACTTCCTAGCAAGCAACAGGTGCTTGGGAGGGGGG